TTTTTTTTTTTTTTTAATGTTTTTATTTATTTTTGAGACAGAGAGAGACAGAGCATGAGCAGGGGAGGGGCAGAGAGAGAGGGAGACGCAGAATCTGAAGCAGGCTCCAGGCTCTGAGCTGTCAGCACAGAGCCCGACGTGGGGCTCGAACTCACTGACCGTGACATCATGACCTGAGCTGAAGTCGGACACTTAACCGACTGAACCACCCAGGCGCCCCTGAGTTTCCATTTTAAAGGGACTGAAGGGACGCCTGGGTGGCTCAGTCAGTGGAGCATCTGAGTCTTGGCTTCCGTTCAGGTCGTGATCTTGACGCCATGAGATTGAGCCCCACGTCGGGCTCTAAGCTCAGCATGGAGCCCGCTGGAGGTTCTCTTTCTGTCCTTCTGCCTCTCTCTCCCACTTGCGCGTGCTCTCTCTCTCTCTCAAAAATAAAAATAAATAAAATTAAAAAAAAAAAGAATTTAAAGGGACCGAGAAGGCATAAATCAATGCCAAATTGCAGTGTGAGGTCACGGACCCAAACGAGGGGCTTCTTGATTTCAGGGGTAGTTAGTAAATAGTAGGAAAAGGGAGCAGAGGGGGCTAAGGAAGCAGGGTTGGGGACAGTGACTGAAGTTCTCTCTTGTTTTTTTGAGTCCAAATCATCCTATTTATTGCATAGCCTCCTCGCAAGACCGAGTTGTCACAGGATATATTCTGCTCTTGGTGCAGCAAGAATTTACTTTTTCTCTACATGGTGATGCAATCCACAAGTTTTTGTTAATATGTAACAGGCACTTAAGACGAATAACCTACCAAACGAAACAGTCTCCTTTTATTTGTCATTTTTTGATTCTTTAATATTTAAATCAGCTATATATGGGGTCTGTCAAGTTGACATCGGTAAAACTTTGGAGCCCAGCACTTGCCAAGTAATTGCATAATTTGTTTTTTCCTGATACGATATTTTTTTCCCAAAGAATTAGCACATTTGTAAGTAAGTCAACCAGGGGGTGCAGCATTTTTAATGCACGCTTTAGCGGCATATAAAGAAATCAACATTTCTTTGATATTTAAATCAGCATTTTGCTACGTGTTCTCACATGATGCAGTGGGAAGAAACACTGTATCATTCTTGGCATCCTAGAGGAACGTTCCTCAGAATAACCTAAGCAAAGGCCTTATGTGCTGAAGTCAGTCCGTTTTGGTATTTGACAGCTGCCATCAAAGCAAATAAATCGATAGGAGCGAACAAAAGCAATTATACGGGGCGCCTGGGGGGTTTAGTCGGTTAAGCGTCTGACTTCTGCCCAAGTAGTTTGTAAGTTCGAGCCCTGCATGGGGCTCTGTGCTGACAGCTCGGAGCCCGGAGCCTGCTTCAATTCTGTGTCTCCCTCTCTCTCTGCCCCTCCCCCGCTCATGCTCTGTCTCTCTGTGTCTCTCAAAAGTAAACATTGAAAGAAAAAGTTTTAAAACATGGCAAACAAAAGCAACTATAGAAGCTATGCAGGAGGGTTTTACTTTTATTTTTTTTTTGTAATTTTTATTTAAACTCAAGTTGGCAAACATACAGTGTAGTCTTGGCTTCAGGAGTAGAATTTAGTGATTCGTCACTTGGATATGACACCCAGTGCCCATCACTCACAACAAGTGCCCTCCTTAATGCCTGTCACCCATCTAGCCCATCCCCCCCACCCACCGCCCCTCCAGCAACCCTCAGTTTGTTCTCTGTATTGTATGTCTTACAGTTTGCCTCCCTCTCTCTATGTCTTATTTCATTTTTCTTTCCCTTCCTCTGTGTTCGTCTGTTGTGTTTCTTAAGTTCCACACGTAAGTGAAATCATGCATTTGTCTTTCTCTGACTTATTTCACTTAGCCTAATACCTTCTGGTTCCATCCACGTTGTTGCAAATGGCAAAATTTCTTTCTGATCGCTGAGTGATATTTCAGTATGTGAGTGTGTGTGTGTGTGTGTGTGTGTGTGTGTTTGTGTGTGTGTGTGTCCGCCTTTTCTTTATCCGTCCATCAGCCAATGGACATTTAGCCCTTGAATACGTATCGCTAGCCCCATGCAGAACACACAGTCCAGGTTTTGGATGAGATGCCTTTCTTTCAGGGAAGGGTACCTGGCCGGAGTGATCCTCCGGTTCACCTTCAACTGCCCACTTCCCTGGCCCTCAGCCATGGCACGGAAAAGTGGCTGGTCTGTGGCCACCTCGGTAGTGTGTGCTTCAGGGGCGCCCGGGTGGCTCAGTCGGTCAAGCATCCGACTTCTGCTCAGGTCATGATCTCGTGGTGTGTGAGTTTGAGCCCCACGTTGGGCTCTTGGCTGTTGGCCCGGAGCCTGCTTCCGATTCTGTGTCTCCCTCTCTCTCTGCCCCTCCCCTACTCACACTTTCTCTGTCTCTCCCTATCTCAAAAATAAATAAACATTAAAAAAACAACGTTACAAAATAACGTGCCGCAGCTTCTCCGGGAAAGAGACAGAGAGAAAAAGAAAAACAGAAACGCAGAGAAAGAGAAACAGAGAAAAACCAGGGGAAAAAATGAGAGAACGAGAGAGACAGAGACTGAATTTCTTCTACCTCGCCAACTGGTTGACACTTTCCTTCTGGGTGCCGATACAGGGGACCATGGCTGAAGAGCTAGTTTTCTCAGGATTACTTATTTTTTCCAGAGTGAGGACCCCTTTCCAGCAGTCCTTACTCAGAGCGTTCACCCTCTCAGCATTCTACGCCTCGTGATCCTGAAGTGCCAAGCACTCACAGATAATACATACAAATGCTGATGCCAAGGAGTGCATTTTGCCCACACAATTAATTTCTTAAAGTCAAAAACTCCATTGACCCAGTTCATGTTTGAAGCAAGAGGGTGAAGACACTGAAAAAAAAAACAAAAAACCTGAAGGTTCTGCTTTCTCGGTAGAGTTGAGTGTCTGTGTGTGAGGTGATGTCACCCTCAGATGTGATTCCGACCAAGCCCTCTGGCCTGAGCTTTGTACATTTCTAATTTAACATCGAACAGAAGCATTTCTGTTTTCGTTAATATTGTCTTATAGTTCTGGAATCCACGACAAGTGGAGCGCAACAATAAATAGTTATTTACTTATTTCATAGAAATTCTCAAAGCTTCAAACAGGAGAAGATGGAGCTATTCGCATTTGAAAGACCCCAGATTGCCCACTTAATCCTGCTTATGGTGCAAAAGGAACGCAGTCATTAATAATGCAGCACCCCCCACCCTGCTATCCCTTTAATCTCTGGTGCACTAATTCACTGAAAAAACATTTTCTTTGCAGTTTTTCCTGAGCGACCCAGAGGAAGCCATTCCTCCGACTGCCAACACATCAAACACAAGTCTTTCTGCCTTAAACAATCAGGCAGTGATTCTGCGTGCACAGAATTTGTTTTTCCTCCCGGTAAGAGCATTTCACTCATTATTACTGCTCTTGTTGTCTTGCTCTAAGCTCTGAGCCCATTTAACGTGATGGCCTCCACTTTCTGATCGGCTGTAGATTTCACTTCTCCTCCTTGGTGTCAATACTTAAGTCCCGATCAGCCAAAATCTGCCAGCCAGGCTGACGGACGCCGATTAGACACACTTACGGTGCAAATTTACAGTGTCCTTTTGGTGCTCTCACAGATGTCTCTGCTTTTATTCTCTTAGTGCTACATTCGATAGCATGTATCCCAGCGTTTGACGTTGCGTTGTATGTCACTGAAGTTCTGGGTTCATTGCTGATGGGTTTTGCCAGTGGTCCCGGTGGAATAGTGTTGGCTTCCTTGCTGATGATGGGGACTGCCTCTCGTATTTCTGCCTCTCCCTTGGCTGTAGACGCTGCCCACTGGTTATATCCTCAAATAATCCTTGCCGACTGACTCATTTTAACCATCCTCCAGAGAAGGGCCAAGATTCAAATTTCAAAACCGGCCAATATGTCAGTCTTTTCGGTGGAAAGGGTTAAGTCAGTTATTTACTATTTAGTAACTTCGTTTCATAAATCATTAATGCAAAAGAAGTTTTGATAGTCTCCTCTCTTGTGTAATCATCTAAAGTAGATTATTCCCACCTGGTTTCTGTCCCATAGAGTCACATTTCGAGAGTGCTAAAGGAACTATTTTGGAGACTGAAATTGGTGATTTAGTGTGTATACTTTAAAGATTCTTGGCCAGTTTTTTAGACTCCATTAGCTGTGGTAATAAAGCAGATTCCTTTCCTCATTCTTCTTTTGCTGATTTGTTCCCTTGATATTTGGCTTGGATCCTTTTTCCCATTTCCTGTCTTCAGTTCCTGGGAAGCTTCCAGCTCTCTGTACAGAATTGGGGTCTCTGGTGGTGTTTTTGAGAGGGTTTCTGAGGCAAGCTGACCAAGGTCCCTAATAATGTCCCCATGGGCATGGGAAGAAAGCCTGCCATAAATCTGTCCTTCATCCAAGGGGCCCTGGTTCTCATTTTAAGCATTATCATAAGCTCCTGTGAGTGCTAGACAACATCTTTTCTGTTTTAGTTACATGAAAAGTGAGAGACAGGAGGCATGGCAAGGGTTTATTGGCTGTGATCTCGCTGTGGGCAATTTGAAGCCGCCTTCTGTAGAGAAAGATTTATGTGAACTGCGGTCTGGCCCTCCCTCCTTGAAAGAATGGCACTGGCATGCACAGAGGTACCAGGCCACTGGCATAGGGACAGAGTGTCCCAAGCAGCATTCACAGGGCACTTCAGCCATTTGCAATGAACGTACATTTGCATAAAAACAAAGGATAGCTGGCAAAGCTTTTTTTTTTTTTTAATCTCTCCACCCGGTATTTGTGGATGCAACAACCCACTGTTTGTCACTAAAAGCAGTAAGGTCATCATTCAGAGTCTCATTAGGTAAGTCGGTATGACTTATTTTCAAAAGAAGCATAAACCATTAGAAACCCAAAATGGGGGAAAGTAACATTTACTCAGTCTTAAAAGATTCGAAAAAATTAAAAAAAAAAAAACAAAAACAAAAAAATATGCAGTAGACGCTTTAAAATGTAGGTAGAATTTTGTCAACAAGCCACTGTTGTTCCAGTAATAAGTCATCAGAAAGAGAGATTATGATGCGCTCTGCCAAGGATCCCCCATGTGCTCAAACACTGCACAGAAAGTGCAGTGTTAGAGTTCTTAAGAGTCCCAGAAGGGCCTGAGAACATCCTGGCTTCCCCCTTCATAGACGGAAGGGAACATCGGAGAGCCATGCGCAACTTCCACATGATTCCTCTCAAACCCCATCGTCCATGATATCTGAGCTCGACGAGGCAGTGGGCAAGACTGTCCACATTCATGTCCACATTCACGACTGTCCACGTTCACGGCTTCTTGTTACATCAAGAAGATGTAACACTTCTTGACCGTAATCTGTAATAGTCATCAGCTCAGGTCACGATCTCACAGTTCGTGGGTTCGAGTCCCACGTCGGGCTCTGTGTTGACAGCTTGGAGCCTGGAGCCTGCTTCAGATTCTGTGTCTCCCTGCTCATGCTCTGTCTCTCTCTCTCTCAAAACTAAAATAAGCATTAAAAAAAATTAATAAAAAAAAAGAAATTAATCTTACAGGCATCAACACTAAGCAACGAAGGTGTTCATCAAAGTGTTTGTGTAACTCCAAGAACAAAGAAAGCAAACAACCTACGAGTTAGAATAAACTTAACGGTTTAAATAAATTCTGCTATTCTGGGGCGCCTGGGTGGCTCAGTAGGTTGAGCTTCCGACTTCGGCTCGGGTCATGATCTCACGGCTTGTGAGTTCGAGCCTCATGTCAGGATCTGTACTGACGGCTCAGAGCCTGGAGCCGCTTCAGATTCTGTGTCTTTCTCTCTCTCTCTCTCTCTCTCTCTCTCGGCCCCTCCCCTGCTCACACTCTGTCTCTCTCTGTCTCTCAAAAAATAAATAAATAAATAAACATTAAATAAATAAATAAATAAATAGATAAATAAATAAATAAATAAATTCTGCTATTTAGTTACATCCAGCCAGGACAAAGATATTGTAGCAAAATATTTAATGACATAGAAATATATATTCACAATAAATTATTAATTGAAAAGTGTCACTTAAAAAATCCCAAATATTCCGCAATTTTCTAAAATGTCAGTATCAGTATTGAGTAGTATTAAAATATCAGGAATAAGTAACACACCCCCCACAAAAAAGGATGGAAAAATATACCCAAAATAATTAATAGCGGCTCAAGTTCGTGGTTGGAGATTATAGGAGACCCTTAGTTTTATACGAGTCCTTTGTATATTCCCTAAGTTTTAACACCAGATGTATTATTCCTGTAGTAGGGGGAAAAGAAGTCATTTTAAAATATCCAACAAAATCTACCACAAAGGATTTTTGCCATGGAGGCAGTTCATACTATATCTGTATTTATATCATTATATCTGAAAAGCTTCCCTGTGAGTTTGCTATTACTGGAAATCTCATTTTCCGTGTGAGGAAACTGAGGCCAAAGAGACCTAAGTGAATTATCCAAGATAATAGCCGCTGTTCCCTTGGCGCAAAAATGCAAATTGAAAAAAAAAATGCAAATTGATTTCATCAGTTAGCTATATCAAACGTGTTAATAACCATATTAACTAATTTTAACTCTGTTCACCTAATCTTAATGGATATTAACAAATGATATTTAGTAATTAAAGTAATAGTAATGATTTTCAATATGAATAAATAATATACACATTAACTAATAACATATCAACTACATCGAAACTATGCGGAAATCAGGTCAGTAGTAATTACATCCTAATGGAAGTCCGTTCGGGAGCCTGCCGCCAGGACTCTTGCCCAGTCGGTGGGTGTTCTCCCTGGCGGCTTCCTTATGTGGTGGAGACAGCCGATCTCCAGAACCCCTGGCCTCGCCCTCTCAGGTTATCCCCCTCGTTCACACGCCCCCCTGCCGCTGTCTGCAGGCTGCCAGCCTACCTTTAATTAACTCCCAGACCACATTGTGCGTGACCTCCAGGCGGTCTAGAAAGTAAATAGTAAATGACTAAATGCCACTTGCCATTGACGTACGTTTTTCAGTAGATACTCCTGAAATAGGAAAACTTTTTAAAAGCCTAAGCACGAATTTTAAAATGTGAAACTAGGGCCACCTGGGTGGCTCAGTCCATTGAGCGTCCGACTTGGCTCAGGTCATGATCTCACAGTTCGTGGGTTCGAGCCCCGCGTCGGGCTCTGTGCCGACGGCTCGGAGCCTGGATCCTGCTTCGGATTCTGTGTTTCCCTCTCTCCGGCCCTCTCCCCGGTTGGCGCCCCCCCCCCTTCTCTCTCTGTCTCGAAAATAAATAAAACATAAAATAGAATAAAATAAAATAAAATAAAATAAGTGAATCCATAGGCTGTATTTGTATAGGTGTTGGCACTTACTTCAAAGGAGGGGTGCTACAGAAATCCTGTGTGACCCTGTGTCCCCCCACCAGGTGCACGTGCACACACTGATACTCACAGTGACACATTTGTTGACGACGTTCATCCTGAGGTCTCCCGCATCATTTCACTAGCAGCATCGTGTCTGGAACTGAGAGCTTCCCCCGCAGCCGGCCCCCAAGGCAATGTCATGGCCTTCGAGGAGCGGTTCTAGACTACTCTCCACTACTGACTGAAAGACCACTGGGTTGTAAACCAGGGCCTCTCAGACTTTGTGGGGAAGGCCCCTGCTTTCACTTGTTTAGTTTTTTTTTAAACTGCCAACCCATCGTGGAGGGTAACTTTCAAAATGAACAGTGAAATAGCAGAAAAATGAACTAACGCAAGGAGACATGAGACACAGAAGCCTGTTATCTTGTCGGATTCGGTGGGATGAGGCTCCCCGTGAAGCTGCTGTACACGGTCCCCAAGCAGCCCTCCCTGGGGAATTTGCTGAGCTGCCTGCTCTGGGTTCTGTGTCTGTCCCCAGGCCTGAGGCGCCTCCTGGCCCTGAGCCCTCACGCCTGCCCTCTGAGCTGGGGACTTTGTCACCAGGCTAAGGGAATGGTGGCAGAACTCCATGTAACTCAGGGCTGGTTTAGGAGCACATGCCCCTCCCCTACCTCCTGTTTTGGGGGAAACTGAGCCAGGTCTCCCTGCCTCGATTCTGTGTTTCCACTCGGCCAGCCCGAATAGTCCTATCAGGACACCTTTCTTTCCTCTGTTCCTCCCCCCATTCTCTGCTGCGGGGAGAGTGGGGTCAGCCTAGTGGGGAACGCCCCCTCGGGTTGGTAATCTGGCCATAGAAATTCTGCTTACAGTGCTCCGTGTCCCGTAAAATGCTGCCACCTGTAAGGCCGTCTTGCTCAGGAAAGCTTCACCTCCTAAAGGGTGACCCAGTGGCTGTGTGATCCAGGGCGGTGGCTGGTCTTCCTTGGGAGGCTGACATGCCAGGTCTGAGTCCTCGTGAGTACGGATCTGTATTAGCCCTTGTGTGGCCGCCTCGCTCCCAAACCCCCCTCTCGCAGAGAAGGAAGTGCTTTGTGTGACCAGGGCGGCTGGCTTCTCGACTTCTCTTCCCCAAGAGCAGGATGGATGAGCTAATATCGCTGGCCTTCCATGGCTTATTCCATATAATGGAAATGACAGACCGGGCTAGTTTTTAAAGACAAGGTCTGTCAAACATCGGTCGGATCTGTGCTTCATTATACCATGAAACTTTACTGAGTGCTGCTTCTGCTCCAGAAATGCCGGTGGCAGCCAGCCCTGGTTCCTGAAGACACGGCAGTGTCACAGGTAGAGGCCCCATGGGCCTGGTGACCATGTCCACTTACCACATCCCTCCTGGCTGGCAGGGCTCTGGGCCGCAAGCTTGGCTTGTTCTTTTCAGTGACTTAAAAGGAGGACATTAGGGGCACCTGGGCGGCTCAGTCGGTTAGGTGTCTGACTCTTGCTTTCGGCTCTGGTCGTGATCTCACGGTTCGTGGGATCGAGCCCACATCGGGCTCTGCGCTGACAGTGTGGAGCCTGCTTGGGATTCTCTCTCTCCCTCTCTCTGCCTCTCGCCCGCTTCTGCTCTCTCTCTCAAAATAAATAAACATCCAAAAAAAAAAAAAAAACAGAGGGCATTCTTCCCTCATTTTATAGATGGAGACATGCTCCACAACCAGGTTGGGTCACTGGTGACCCCACTAATGAGTGAGCAAAGCAAGATTGGCTGGGGCTGTCGCATCTCGATGACGTCCCGTAGGGCAAATGGCGAGGGAGCACCACGGTAGGGCACACGTGTCACTGTTTCCGGGGGACGACACGGGATGCAACGTGCTGGCTTTTTTCCACACACCTAGCTCTTCCCATTCCCTCGTGTTCCCTGCCCACTTCCAGGGACTCTGTGACTCACCCCGGCCAAAGCTTTTAGTTTGTCAAATCCTCTCTGCTTTGGACCTGCAGTTTCTCCTTTAATAAAATGCCGAGGCTTTCTTATGCTTTTAACAGAACTCCTGGTAATGATTTATATCTTCATAAATTAAGAATTGAAAGGCCGAAAGAGATTCTAAGTACTATAGCTTTTAAAATCGATACCTGTGTACAGAGTCACTTGTTTTCATCTTCGAGAAGCAAATGACATTTGTGAGTCATGACCTGCCTTCAGTGTAGATCGTTAAGAATTATTTCTATTGGCAGTATGCATGATTGTTCTCATTGGGCATGCTTCACTGGGTCAGCAAGCCATGGAATGAGTAATTCTTTTCTAAAGCACACATTTTCGGGCGTGTACCCCGGGGTCAGAAAACAGAAAAGGGCATCTGTTTTTCACAGCCAGTTTGGAAGTTGCGTGCGTGAGCTTGGGGGTTGGTGGTGACCCCCAGGGTGAATTCCTATTCCAGCATTTCGCAGAAGAGATCCTAAACGCTCATCTGATATATTTCCCTGTTCCAGTACTTTATCTACAGCTGCATTCTGGGACTGATTTCCTGCTCGGTTTTCCTGCGGGTGAATTACGAGTTGAAAATGCTGATCATGATGGCGGCGTTGGTAGGCTACAACACCATCCTTCTCCACACTCACGCCCATGTCCTGGACGACTACAGCCAGGTCTTATTTGAGAGGTAACCTGCGCCCTCTTCCTTCTCTGCGGTGGTTTCACGGGACGTTGATGACGTGAGTGTGTGTTGAGCAAACACAGACTAGCGGTATCCTTGCCATTGATAATCATTGTGTGGGCTTTTCTTTGAAATTGTGGTGCAGAAATTTGATGTGTGTCTTCACTATAGATTATATACAATATGTATCATCATGTACCCTTAGGAGGTTTAGGGAGGTGATTACTGACCCAATCTGTACTGTACTGATAACAATAACCTAGGGTTTCTCTTCCTCAGCATTATAAAACTTCAGAGCGAGTAAGTTTCTGTTGTGTCGGGCGGTGGGAGGACTGCCCTCGGCATTATAGGGTATGTCGAGGGATCCCTGGCCCCTACCCACCAGATGCCACTCACAGCCACCCGCCCCGAGTCTTGACCACAAAAAATGTCTCCGGACGTTGCCAAACGTGCCCTGCAGGGCAGAGTGGACCCCAGTTCAAAACAGAGGAATCCACCTACACCGGAAAAGTAAGTGGATACATTCACAAGTTATAGACTTCAACATCTTACGGGAGATTCCCTAAAATACCCTGGTGTGGAAGGAGGTACTGGCAGCTGGCGATTCTCTGTTCTATGAAGAGATTGATTTGCAGGAAGAGGTAGACCTGTGATATAATCCGGTCCTGGATACGATCAGATGATATGATGTGAAAGCATCGGGTCCCGAGTTCAGAAATATTGAAAATGGTCCTCAAGCCCCTCTTTGGGTTTATGAAAGGTCGCCTACCATCAAATTACTTCCATAAGCTTAGAATACCTGTTCCCCGCTTGAAAAAAAAAAATGGAATCATTATGATGCTCTCCATCACACATCTTGATAGCAAAACCTTTTACATCAAGTGTTGGGTTTATTTCTGGACCTGCCAGGCTTCCGTTTTTTTTCTGTAGGCATGTTGCATAATCCTACGTAAAATATCTATATATTTCTTTTAATATAAAATAAATGCCTTAAATATTTTCCTAGATGTGTGGCTCCAGAAAGATGGCTTGTGTTGACCGCATATGGCCACTTACTTCTCCATCAGAGGTTCAGTGTCAAGGACAGTGGGCCCCCCGCTGCGTGCACGTTTCTTGCCAGTAAGAACTTTCAGAAACACAGTGGCAGTGCATTCTCTTCACGTAATTTAATTTCCATCGTCTTCCACACCATGAAGCTTTAATAATCTGTAATCAAGCTGAAGAGTAGTCGAGTTGCAAAAATGCATAATGGTATTAAGGAAGGTTTATGATTCCTTAGCAAGGAGGAGAATGAAATCAGAAGTTAATTTTCCAATAAGTTCTCAGAGTCACCAAGCAAACATGCTTCAGTATTTCTCTGCCACATCCAGGGAGCCTGCCTCAAATCCCTATGTAAATGTGGCGTTACCGATTTCTATGCGCAGCAGACAATGTCACTGAATTTCCCTTTGTTAAGTTTGAGGCTCCTGAATATGCGACACATCTGAAGACAAAGAAGCAATTAGAACGGCGGCTTTCTGATGGAGAGAGAATCACTCCTGGGGACCTGGGACAGACACAGGATCTCGGGTCAGATCCGAGCAGCACTGGAGGAGTTATTTGGTTGAAGAAAAGTTTTTACTTCCCGAGCCCTTTCATTTCATTCAAGATCTTTTGTGTGTATTCTCCTGGTCGTGTCTTCATAAGAACCTTACAATCAGAGAGGGCTGCCCTGAGAAGCCTCCAGAACCTGCCTCCACTCCGAAGGAAGACAGCGTCCTTCCAGGAGGAGGGATGCACCTGCCTCCCCGTCCTCCTCCTGCCCATACAGTTCTGGCCTGTCCAGACCCGCGTCCTGCACGAGCTGCCCCAGCACCCCCCAAGCATTCCTCCACCAAAAGGTGACTGTTCCTGGCAGGATAGCAGAATACCTTGAAATCAACAAATTTTCTCAATATCGGTTTAAAACTAATCCCAAATGAGGGGCCCCCAGGTGCCTCGGTCAGTTAAACATCTGATTCCTGAGATCGAGCCCCCCCGTCAGGCTCTCTCTCTTCCTCAAAAATAAATAAACATTAAAAACTTTTTTAAACATATTAAAACAAACAAACCAACGAGAGACTCCTAAGACCAAGACTCTCTCCATTTCCCTCCTGATTTCTTCAGCCTCAGTGTGTGTTGGAGAGAACCCTAAACCCCTCCCGGAGCCAAAACCCACCAATGCCTATGTGTTCTTTGTTCGAGAGAATTCAAGAGGTTTCCCCATCAAACACCTGACCCAGGCTTCCTCATCCTTCGCCTCAATGGTGTAGACGCTGGTACACCTCCTTTCTGTTAAGACACTGGGATCCTCAGACAAACAAAAGCCCCCTGATCTGGGACGGGACCTGGAGATGGAACATCCCTAAATCCCAAAGCCAGTGGCTCCCTTCAAGGAAGGAGCTGGTTCCCAGGAGTGCCACACCGCACTCCCAGTCCTGACGGAGCTCATCCGTGCCACTGAAGATGTGCTTGGCCCCGTCCCTTTTCTGACTTATTTCTGGTCTTTGCATCCTTGGTCTCCCTTTTCACTCTTGGTTTCCTGGTCCTTGCCCTGGTCTTCTTTCTGGAATGTGTGCTCTGCTGTGATAGTCAGTGCCCTTGGGGCCCACCTTGGCCCCTGGACTGGACCCCTTGTCAACACCGGGCATTCCTAGCAGACCTACCCCAGACTTCTGGCTTTCACCCTGGGTGTTCCTGCAGACCGAGCGGCTCTGTCACCCTGCAAAGCTGGGGAATGTCTCCCCTAGAGGTAGCAGATGGGGCTCTGTCTGTTCTCTTTTCTTTAAGGTGGGTAACAGACACTCTAGAATCGAGGAAGGAGCAGGTCTGAACCAAGTACCACTCTGATAACCACAGTGCCTGTAACTGTGCCTGCCCTCTAGTAAGTAGGTGCTAAAAAATATCTGTTAGATAAATGAATAACAGCAGGTAGACTCCTTAATAACCAGAAAGGCCCAAATACTGGCTGTAATGAAAAGCCTCACCTCACCTGCTTCCCTGAAGACAGAGGCTCATGGAAGATGTGTCTTTTCAGGAACAGGATCGGTTTTTGTTTGTACTCTTACGTTTCAAGGGCAAGTTTGGAGAGGGCATCTCTGTTTATAAGGCAGTGTTAGGCCACTTTCTGAATACACATTTGGACTGTATTGTCGTCCTATATGTGAGTTCACCGTCACCCATGTTTCGGGGACCTTTTCGGGACCAAATTTGACATTGATAATGGACAAGCCAAAAGGATGTTACAAGCCAACAGGGATGTTTTTACAAGAGGGTTAGCGAAGAAAACAGGAGAAGTATGCACCAGAAAAACTCCAGCTCAACGAATAATTCAGAAAGTGACATCAAAGATATTCCGACAGATTCGCAAGTGTGGAAAGCCTACTCTAAAGGAGAAGAAAAGAGACTACTTTGAGTGTGCCACTGAAAGTTCATTAAACAGAGGCCAGCGATGCCCCAATACTTACCATTACCTGCTCTTATGTGATTCTGGGAAGTCACGTCATGGTGGAAGAAGCCCGGGTGTTTCTGGTATTCAGAAGGTCCAGGAGAAGACGTTTTCTAATTCTCTGGCATTTACGACATCCCCCGTTTTTCCGTGAGTACAGGATGTTTTGCTGAACCAGTCAGTGGCCATTCCAGTTCCTACCCGTGACGCTGTCTCCCAGAGCCCTCGGCCGGCACCACGGAGGACACCAAGTGCTCTTGGCAGTGACGGTGATGCTGATGAGCGTTGATGTTGCTGCAAGATGTTCTTGTTGCGAAGACACTTTCCCTTCCCTTGTCAAGGTCTTGCCACAGAGTCCGCAAGACACTGTCAGATTTTTCCTGGGAGTTTTTTTCTTGCAGAACTGAGAAGTCTCAAGGGATGAGTGTTATCGTTTCCTATGGACCCGGCCATTATGCTAATCCACCTGAATATAGGAGACGTGCGTTTAATTCTGAAAATACGGGGGTGGGGAGCTTGAACAGGACGGTGCGTGGTGGGGTGGATAACAAGGAACCAGCTCTGTTTGGGCGCTTAGCTGAATACGACAAATCCTTTGTGGACAGCGTATACGTAAGGCGTGTGAGTAAGCAGCGATGCCCAGTGTCCAGCCTCGTCCGCAAGCTCTGGATTGTTGTTGGTAGAAATGTCTGCATAATTTTAACTTCCTTAAAGTTCTGCGTCAAGCGTGGTGATGGAGACGCTCAGACACATGTCACCGGGAGCTATGCGTTGAGCACCTTCAGTGTGACGTTGTTCCGCTTTCTCTGTTTTTCCTGTGTCTCATTCAAGACACAGAATTCGAGATGATGACGCGACAGATTTTGACAGTGTCCCAACTTGGGATCAGCCGAGGGTGAGATCACTGCAGCATTAATCACGATCAGCAGAAAGGCAGGACGGCACTGCACGTCCACCCTGCGGTCGAGGGTCTGGGGGTGTCCTCAAGCACCTGAAATTCCTCTCAGGTCTCCTCTTTTAAATTAAAAATGTATTCCAGATTTACATTCTAACCCATCACGTATCCAAGGTAATGTTGAAAAGTTTTGAAATTACTTTTGAAGTTAACATCTCAGTTTCTCATCCCCTGCCCAGTTTCCCCTCTCTGTATCAGGCTCTTCCAGCCCCAGAATGTCTTGCTTGGCATTTATGAATAATACAATGAGAAAAACTTAAAAAAAAAAAAAAAAGGCTGGGGTGCCTGGGTGGCTCAGCCAGTTGAGCGACCGACTCTTGATTTCGACTCAGGTCACGATCTCTCGGTCCATGCGATGGAGTCCTGTGTTGGGCTCTGTTCCGACAGCGTGGAGCCTGCTTGGGATTCTCGCTCTTCCTCTCTGTCTCTGCCCCTCCCCTCCTTGCACGTTGTCTCTGTCAAAATAAATAAATAACCTTAAAAAAAGATGCTCTGAGAAAGCATAGGCTCGGGGCCCTCTGTTCTTGGGTGACATTGGGCCACCCGCCCTGGAGGACTGCTGCGGGTTCCAGGGGATCTGTGTCC